TTTTGCATGATCATTACAGTTTTCCAACAAAATTAAATGTGAATCAACATGAATCATGGATTATATATGCAGTGGTATATAACTCCCGCTACGCGCGAGTCTGTATTAATATTTTGGTTTACTTTTTTTAGATATTATCTTTAAAATTATTAGAAATTATATATATTTATAGAAATTTTCATTTATATAAGAGAATTTAATATATAATATGTAATTTATCCTATTTTTATTTATAAATTTTAAAAAACTATTAGGTAAAATAATAACAATGACACCTATCGAATAATCCAACTTTGACGTACATATACATTTGATTTAGAGAAATATAATCTTGCTAAGATTTTGGTATTATTTTCTGTTTTCCATAGAATTTCTATAGTTCTTTTTTTTCTTGAAGGTTTATGTGTTCAAATATTTAGCTTTTTATTGAAAGTCTTATTGCTGTTGTGTACCACTATATATATAATCTATGATTCATGTTGATTCGTATTTAATTTTGTTAGGAAATTGTTATGATCATTCAAAACCATTTTTTCCTTCTCCATCATGTCTTCCAAGAGTTTTATGTTATATTTTTATTCAGTTTTAATTGTTTTAAATGTTAAATCGAGTTGTTGTAGGTTTTTTTAAATTGATAATTGATAATGGTTACTTTTTTATACATGTATTGTTAATTGTTAATATTTTAAAAAAAAAATTAAAATTTTAAACCATATTAACATTTTCTGATTTAATAAATATATTGATTTGGATCAATCAGTTTGATTTAGAAAAAAGTTATTTTACCTAATAGTTTTTTAAAATTTATAAATAAAAATAGGATAAATTACACATTATATATAAATTCTCTTATATAAATGAAAATTTTATAAATATATATAATTTTTAAACCAAAATATTAATACAGACTCCCGCGTAGCGCAAGTTATAAACCTAGTATAATATATAAAAGTTGATAACACAGTGCATTGAGGTCGTCCACATGGGATTAAAAAACTCGACCTGATTGGTCCACATCAGCATATTCATTAAATAAAAAATGTTAAGTATGATTAAGATGAAAAAACTTGATTTAATTGGTCCACATCAGCTTTTTAATCAAACTAAAAATTATTAAATATAATTAAATCATTAAAAGTTAATTTAACAAATTATGTCCAACAAAAAAAAGTAAATTCAATCTGATTGATCCAAATCAACATATTTATTAAATCAGAAAATATTAATATGGTTTAAAATTTTAAAAGTTATATAAAAAATTAACAATTAACAATAATACATGTTTTAAAAAAATTAATCATTATCAATTTACAAAAGTCAACAACAACTCGATTTAACAATTAAAATAATGAAAACTGAATAAAAATATAACATAAAACTCTTGGAAGACATGATGGAGAAGGAAAAAATGGGTTTGCATGATCATTACAGCTTTCTAACAAAATTAAATGCGAATCAACATGAATGATGAATTATATATGCAGTGGTACACAACATCAATAAGACTCTCAATAAAAAAACTAAATATTTGAACACATAAACCATCAAGAAAAAGAACTATAGAAATTCTATGGAAAACATAAAATGATACCAAAATCTTAGCAAGATTATAATTCTCTAAATCAAATGTATATGTACGTCAAAGTTGGATAATTCGATAGGTGTCATTGTTATTATTTTACCTAATAGTTTTTTAAAATTTATAAATAAAAATAGGATAAATTACATATTATATATTAAATTCTCTTATATAAATGAATAATTCTATAAATATATATAATTTTTAATAATTTTAAAGATAGTAGCTAAAAAAAATAAACCAAAATATTAATACAGACTCACACGTAGCACGAGTTATATACCTAGTCATATATATAATTAGAGAGTGTTCTCTCCATCTAAGGTGTCCACATCAGCATAATTTTTATTTTAAAATAGGCTTTTAAATATGTTGGGTTTTGTTTTTAAGTTTCTATATTTTGGGTATTTATTTTTGGGCTTTTAATATGATTACTTTGAAATTAAAAACAAATACTTATTTTACAAGTTATAAAAACTACAAATTTTTTTTATTAAAAAAAATTGGAAGGCAAATAAAACAAGATAACAGAATGACTTACAGAAAATAATTCTCAAAAAAGTATAAAAAAAACCTTAGAAAGATTTATATATAAAACTAAAGTAAAATCATTCATAGAAAACAAATGCTTATTTCAAAAATTATAAAAAAACGTAAATTTTCTATGAAATAAAATTTCAAACTGTTATTTTGAATATAAATACATAGAATGTGAACAGATTTATTTTCAATATAAATAAATAGAGTGTGAAATAGAGTTGGAATGTGAACAATTACGAAAGATGATATAAAAACTTGCAGAGAAGAATTATCAACCATTTTTTCTCAATGATGGCAATACAAAATTGATATTGGATAAGGTTATTCATCAGCCATATAATTAATAAAATTTTAATATGAAGTGTATAAATAAACTAAAACAAGGTATTTTCTAACAAAGTCAAGTCTATTACCTCCACATGACATGAAAATAGACAAAAATATTTTTACACACATTCGTAAATATAGTCAAATGGATGGACACATCAAAATTGCTTTTCGAAAATAGACAAACCTTTCAAATCAATTAAAATCAATAGTGTATCAAATAAGCATCTTTTTTAATATAAAAACCTATGTAACATATATACAGATCTTTGGCTCTATCTCGCCAACTTTACTTACAATTTCCCTCATTTAAAGTTATAACCAATCACAGAATTAAATGAAACGAAAGCTTGTATGAAATAAAAAAAAATATCAGTAATTGTAATCAGAATAATAGGACTAGGAGCACTAGGAAAGGGATAAAAAATGAATTATTATTTGTGCTTGAAAATGACTTAAATTAGTCCAATAAAAAATCCGACATAATGATTATACTTTGTTGATTTAGGAAAATAAACTGTAAAAAAAAATCAGAAACCAAAATTGAATACAGTTAAACAATTATAACACATATAATACTTATTACAGCGTATAAATATACAATAATTTTTTTAAAAATTAATATAATACATAATAATCTATATTAGAAAAATAAATTTACAATATAAATATATATATTTTAGGATAAAAATATAAAACATTTTAAAAATAATATTATAATATAGAATAAACATATACATAATAGTAATATAAATATTAAAAAATATAAATTAAATTAATAGATAAATCTGCACAACGCGCATGTCACAATCTAGTTTAGTTAATTACTACCTGAAAGAAACATAAAAAATAAAAGAATGTTTTGATTGCACATATAAGACTGTAAGTCTGTCACAGATTATCATATACTTCTAATCTCACCATATTTGTTGAGCTCCTCAAAAAAATACTCATCAAAACAGTGGTTTTGTAACTCTCTCGCACCATTCAAAATTATTGTAAATCTCTTTAGGAAGTTAGTAACCCTAATAACAGTGTCGTGGCCAGCAAACCCAAAAAAATCAAAACTAAATTTCATGCTGCTCTCGTTCCAATTTCTCAGCGCAGAGTTTGATAATTATTGTTAGGGCGAGCTTGTCAAGGTCAGTGTTGTCCCACTAGATCAGTGCACCATTATAAGACTAGATCATCATGCACAATATAACAAGAATTGAGCATAGAACATCCACAATGCACAACCCCATGTTTAGATTCTTATGTATTTTTTATTATGAAATATTTTTAGAACCGATCTATAGGTTTTTCTCTAAGAACAGATTCCAAAATATGGGATTTTTAACACATTTTTTTTTCATTTAATAACCCCACAATTCTCAGCATTATGGATGCTTAGTCTATTACCAAAGTTTTGTTTGCGTTGTGAAGCATTCAAAGATATTAATACCATTATATGACTCTTTTCCCGCAAAATATACTACTCTGTTTTTCACCTTTTGAAACTTGATGAATATAAGAATCGTGTTGTCTGATTTGTGATAGGTCTAGGTTTACCTTGTAAATATCACTGCAAGTACACAAAGTCGCAGTTGTAATATAAAGGGATATTTTATCCCAGGAGATTTAATATTGCACAACCAATTTCAATTTTGCATCAAACTAAGCAAATAATAAAATGTAAATGAAAATACTTAAGAAAATCAATTTGAAGATTTGTTAAAAGCAGGTTTTAACCAATGAGACAAATGGTAGGCATCAAAAAAATCTCACGTAAATCCGAATTGCACTTGAAAACCGTTTGGATATTTATTAAGAACTGTTTTAGAATTCAAATCACAATAATAAAACCAACCAGTTTTCGTTGCAGGGATCATCTATGTCTAAACTCTAGAATTCTAATTTTTTTTGCAAATTCAAACATACGAGCATTAAAGTTCAGGTTCGATTGTTCACAAAATCCCTAAACTAAATTCTTTTGTGAATATGTCATCTGTTCATTTAAGATAGTTCAGATAATCAGTAACATTTTTCGCATCTATAAATTAACATAAGATAGGCGATCTAGATGAACTATATGATTATCCTAACAAAAACTCAAATCTAACAATTCATCTTTAACCTTTGAATAACCCTAAACCTAACAAGCAAACTACTCAGACATGGTGGTTAAAACAAACATCATGAAAAAAATAGATTGCATAAAAGAAATAAGTAAAAAATAAAAAGGTGTTCAAATTTTTCTCTCAAATAAACTGAATACCGGAATTGTCTTTCCAAAAGCTCTGAAATAAATCTCTTTCTAAATCTTAATAGAATAAAAAAATGGATGCTTAACAATAGCTTTAAAAACCTAAATATAGTCTAAGCACGAATGGGGCCAATCCGTAAAATAGATAAAACTTCTAGGCCAACTTATAATTCTCCAAAAGTCTTGAAAACTCGTGAAAATGCTCAGTGTCGACCGACACCAAGTCTATAAGTCTCCAATTTGATCTCGCCAGCAACATCTCGTGCTTGGTTCAAAATGCTCCAATATCTCCAAATAAACTTTAGTTGTGCATAAATCTGTAAAGACTCGAAAAATGCTAACAAGACTCCATATACAAGATCTATATCAGGTCAAAAACCCCAAAAAAAAATCATGAGATATCAATTTGTCCAAATCTTCGGGATAGTTTAACAAAAACCATGTCCATACAATCAGGGATATTTTTGTTTTTTTTCGGTTCTGTTACAAATTCTGATGACTTTTGAATTCGTATCAACAACCTCAAATACAAGAACACTTTGAAACATGAAAAAGGAAAAGAAAACACCGAGTTTACTTGGGTTTAAGAGAGATCCTTCTCTCTTATGTGTGTGTGAAGTAACTAATAAGATCTTGGAAGCTCTTTGCCTGCCAAGAACGATCTTAAAAGAGTGAGGGCACGCCGCGGTTGCAACACCGGAACTTCGTGCCCCGCTCCCCTCACCGTTGCAAAGGTAAGCCCCTCGTATACCTCTGTCCATCCTCCAACCTGCTTCCACCAATGTACTATCACTACCTGTGCTGTGCACATAAATGTATGTGTATGTGTGATGAATATACCTGGTTCTCAGAGTACCAAGGGTACCAACGAGTTCTCACAGTAAGATTGAGATGGCTAAGGGAAAGTCTAGTTCCGGTCACTGGAACCACCGCGTCCGTATCGCCGCTGCATCCAATCAAAATGTGGGTTTAATGATCAAAACCTGTACTTTTACTTTGAATTTAGTTTTCATGGCTTACCTAAACACCCATATCCTCAAACCAACGGCTATGAGTTCCTTGTAAATGGGAAGAATCGAGTTATCGGAATCTCCCCAGCTATTAAACATACCAGAATTGCATGCGGTCCACTTATAGGGAATGGCTGTGAGATTAGCGTGCATAGCTCGCTGTACATCAGGACGGTTATAGTATATCTCTGCGTAGCTCTCGGTACAGGGGTCTTCTTCTTCCTCTACCAACATCCGTCTGTGTAGGAGCTTGGTCTCGTTGGTTTGTGGTAGACATGAGGGTGAGTAGATGCTGTACCCATTGACTTGGCCGAACTCGATGACCGTTGCGTAGTAGAGTGCGGCGTTACACTCGTCAGAGTTTGTATCCTCTGTGAAGCTGCAGTGTTTGAGGATAGTTTTGTAGGATCCGTCGGAGATCATGGCGTGTGACCACCAGTACGTGACGGCTCCTAATCTATCGTAATGCCTGTCCGTGTCTCCGTTTCCAACCTTAGGGCCGGAAAGTGTGTATATGCGTTAAGAGGAATATGAAGTAATGGTTTTGGGAAATGTGATGAAGAGAAGAAATGTTTTACCATGATTCCTATGAGATTGATGATGGTTTTGTTCATGGCTTTGTTGTAGTGATGAATTTTTTTGGCAAGCTGAGGAACATAATGCCCTGTGAAAATAAATATTAAATAAGATAATTGAATAGATTATAAATAGGCAATGAGTTTTTTGGACTGATTATTTGTAAATAAAAACCATTTAACTAAACATCAAAATTGGTCGAAGAGTATGTTTATGGTGAAGTACCGGCGTAGCTTTCACCAGCAATGTAAAAATCTCTGTATTGGTACTGAGGAAATCTTGACATCCATTTTATAAGAAATATCAGATTGTCATGACCTGGAGAACAGTATTTTTAACATTTAAAATCAAAATTGATTACAAATAATTTTTGAAAATTAAATCACAAATAAATATAAAGAAGCTGACCAGTCCGTTCGTCCCCGGAATCTTTAAGATCGGAGCTTGTGTTAGTGTACGAAAATCCAACTCCGTCGGGAGATTCCAAAAACAAAATGTTTGCTTCTATTCATCACAGATAACATATTCAAAATACATTTAATATAACAATGTTGTTATGAAGAAATGCTCCAGTGTTATTCCATAACAAATATAAAATAGTATAAAGTTTGAAATAAATATTTGACGTGAATACCTCTGTTCCAAGAAAAGCTGTTGAGATAGAGATTGGAACCGGTTTTGTTGATTCGAAATGGTCCAATTTCCTCCGAAGCTCCATAGGCAATCGACGAGCATCCCGGTCCTACGATTTTTTTTTGGTTTTTAATTTTATGTTGTTTGAAACTGCTTTAGTGTCCATATCATGCGCATTATCTTAATGATGTATATCAATTTTTCCTTTAACTAGGCATATTTTTGAGAAGTGGGGCTAAGATGCACGCTAGAGATGAAATGGGAAATTGTTAGATGGCCCGAGTTCAAAACTCCAAAACTCGTGGAGATAATGATATTTTAATTTTTTTTTGTTTGAATAATCCATACATCGAAAAAGATAGAATAAAGAAAGTAAAAAAGTAAATGATAATGAGTAAGAAGCTGCATGTTTCGTTTATGAGAGTCATATTGGGTTGTTGATGTTATTATTGTGGACAACATAGTTTTATTCACAATTAAAAACAATGATCAAAAAACTAAAGATGTATAAAGATGACATGAAACACGTGTTAGTTTTCTTGGTATAAATACAAAAAAGTAATGTTAATGGATTTCACTTTGTTTCTGTTTGACTAGTCTACGAGGTACGTAAATAGAAAAAAAAACCAAATATTTGTTAGGTTTCTCTTCGAAAACATTGTTCCAGTCAAATATATCATAAATATATTTCAATCAACGAGTTACTGTTGCGTAAATTAACCATTATAGCACTCTAATGAGAAAAAAAAAAAAAAAAAAAAAAAACTCACTAGTATTCATAATTTTCAAATGGTATTTGATAAAACAAACCCCAAATTTTATGTTTTCAAAAGACAATTAAAGATGATAATTTACATGTTGGGCTAAAACCAAAAGCAGACGAAATTATGATGATACACAAGAGCGATCCATGACCATGCATGTGTATGTACATATATGATTGGAAGTGGGGAGACAAAAGAATCTTACCTCCATTGAGCCAAAGAAGAAGTGGTTTTGTGTGAGGGGAAGAAGATGACTCAGTGAGCCAGTAAAAGAGTGATCGACCGTGTGACTCGTTTACTGTTACGTAACCCGAAAACTGTGAGAAGCCTACTTTTGGTTGCCCTGGAAGTGCCTTGATCCTGTCCTCCTCTTGCTCTCTTGATGATGATGATGTTGATGTCTGTGAGATCAATAGCAGAAGAAAGATTAAGTGGGTTCTTGCCATTACTTTTTGTTTCGTCCTATCACTATAGTCTCTGATTTTTCTTCAATGGGTGTGCATGTGTGAGAAAGGATATATATGTGTTGCAACCACTAATATAAATACTTGTATATATGCATGTGTGAGAAAGACATATCGTTGGATGAGCTTTTAGAGGTTCTAATTTTAATTGATTATAATGTGTTTTGCTGAGTCATTTATAGCACAATGTGGACCCCTCTCTTTTGTCAAAAGATGAGCAAAAGATGACATATGATTATCCATTTACATAACGTTATCATAGATTTCGATTGTTTTGTAAAGTAGTAGATGAGTGTACCCATGCATTGATGGAAAACGTTATTTTTCTTTTCCAATAGAGGATCTAGTGACCATTTTTTCACGTTTTGTGGGAAAGTGGATCCGAGAAAAATTTAATAACACTTTACCAAGTTCACGTTTTCTCTTCTTGTATCAAAATCTTTCACTTACCAAGAAAATGCTTCAAGCTCTTATAGTCATCTTTGGATTGTTGAAAATGAATCGATTTTAAAAACAGAAGAAAAGGAAAAGAAAACACCAAGTTTACTCGGATTCCAAAGTCTAATAAGATCTTGGAAGCTCTTTGCCAGCCAAGAACGATCTTAAAAGGATTAGAGCACTCTGCGGTTGGAACAATGGCACCTCGTGACCCGCTCCTCTTACCGTCACAAATGTAAGCCCATCATATACTTCTGTTCTTCCTCCTACCTGTCACCATCAATATCACATCACAAGATCTTCATATAATATGCATATACTACATAGTTATACATATGTATATGTCATAATGTTACCTGATTCCCGGAGTACCAAGGGTACCAGCGAGTTTTCACTGGAAGGTTGAGTTTGCTGAGGGAAAACCGAGTCGCTGTCACTGGAATAACCGAGTCTGTATCACCGCTGCATCACAATTTGATTGGAAAATATGGTTTAGTTGACCAAAATACTTGTTACTATTTGTGATCTTGGAAACTATTTTCAATATACTGAAACATAGTGTACCTATAGACCCATATCCTCAGACCAGCCTCCATGAGTTCCTTGTATATCGGCAACATCGAGTTGTCAGATTCTCTCCAGTTCCAATTGTTAAACACAAAGTCACTGCAGCATTTGGGAAGAACCAAAAAAAAAAAAAAACTGATATTTCAGGTGCGGCGTCTTCAATGGTCCGGTTTGGCATCCCGGTATCTTTCTAGATTCAGTTCAGTTAGGTTAGTTATGACTGGATTCTAACCATAAGCATTTCGGTTCAGTTTGGTTTAGCTATGTTAGAGTTTGGTTTAGCTTTGTCTGATACTGTACATGTCTAGAATAATAATAAGTGTGATTAGTTACACAATTTCTCAAGATTGGTGGTAATGAAATTCAAGATCTGAAGATTAAAACCTAAATAAATTCTATCAGTAATCACATTTGCTAAAACCTATTCACAAGAATAGTTTAACACTATTATCATAGATAACTTAGAGTGCAAGACATGTGACTTGTACACCAAGTATTGTGGACAATTAGATCCCCTCCATGAAATGAAACACGTAAATTTAAATGGAAACTAGAACTGCGTATTTTCATTTAAGCTTCACGGTGTTGATGGTTTCAATTCATAGACGAGTTTTGATGACCCATAATAGTTAAAACGCATGCCTTGTCTTCCAAGTTATCTTTAATACTTTTTTTTTTTGAAAATAGTTATCGCTAATACTTATTATATATACAAATTTGAGAATCAGATTTTGGGGTGAATATGTTCACTTTTCATGTTCGGGTTCGGTTAGTTCAGTTCAAGTTTTTGATGTTGTCGAATAGTTACCTGCAAGCAGTCCATTTATAAGGAATGGCGGTACGGTTCGCATGCATAGCTCGTTGTACCTCAGGCCGGTTATAGTATATTTCGGCGTAGCTCTCGGTACAAGGGTCGTACTCTTCTAAAATCTGTTGAGGCATCGTTTTGTGCCTTTGCTTAGTCCGTAACAACTTTGATACACACTTTGGTGTGTAGATGCTGTACTGATCGATGTTGCCAAAGTCTCCCGAAGCGTCGTAAATGGTGGAATTGCACTCTTTGGTGAATCTTTCTGCTGTGAAGTTGCAGTTTTTGAGGATTGAATTGTAGGAAGCGTCGGATATCATTGCGTGTGACCACCAATACGTTATTGTCCCTAGTTTATCGTTGTTTTTGTCCATGTCTGGGTTTCCAACCTTAAATGGGAGATTAGGGTTTAGGAATGTAGAGTAATAGTTCTTGAAATGTGATCAATAGACCCTTAATTAGTTTTACCATAAATCCTTTGAGGTTGATGATTGGTTTGTTGTAGGCTTTGTTGTACTCATTTATCTTTTTGGCTAGTTGGGGAACATAATGCCCTGTTAAAATAGACATTAAGTTAGATAAAAAAAAATTGAAGAAATGTGGTTAAACCAGGTTAACCAACAACCATTTCACCAAATAGAATCTGAATTGCTTCAAGTATAAGGGTTGAGCAATTCGGTTTATGGTTTGTTCACGGTTGTTTTTTTTTTTTTGTTTGCAGTTTTATAAAATATAAAACCATTAGAAAATCATTTGTAACTTAATTTGATTTCAGTTTGGATTAATGAATTTTGTTTTGATCCGGTATTTTTTAGTCAGAAAGGTAACTTAGCTGTATAAAAATAATATTTCGTTATATGGTTATATTTATTTTAAAATTATATATATAGTTAAATATATGACTCTAAATAAATTTTAATTTGTTTGGTTCATTTTGGTTTGGGTACACTAAATTCGGTTTTAGTTTTTTTTCTTGTTTTCCAATTAATAAAGCCAATCCATTGATAAACAAATTTTGGTTTGGTTTCAGCAAAAATATATTTATTTTAAAATTATATATATAGTTAAAAATATGAATCTAAATAAATTTCAATTTGTTTGGTTCATTTTGGTTTGGGTACACTAAATTCGGTTTTAGTTTTTTTTTTCTTGTTTTCCAATTAATAAAGCCAATCCATTTATAAACAAATTTTGGTTTGGTTTCAGCAAAAGTATGTTGGTTTGGTTCGGGTTCGATTTAGATTTTTTGTTATATATATATATATATATATATATATATATATATATATATTTTTTTTTTTTTTTTTTAACTTTTGCTTGTAACGGTTTTTTTCCCACCCTCATATGGTGACATACCAGCGTAGCTTTCACCAGCAATGTAGAAATCTCTATCTTGGTACTGAGGAAATCTTGACATCCATTTAATAAGAAATATCAAATTTTCTTGAGCTGCACCACACAATTGATAAAATCAGTTTCTCTCAGCAAAACAAATTTAATAAATTTTGAATTTTAACTAGCAGTATTTAGTTTTATGTATTCTGCTGGTTGATGTCTAGACAAGTTTTGTCAAGTGAATTTTGTAGTGGTCAAATATGTATACCCACATAGGCCATGTGGTTAACAAAATCTTTGTGATTGAGCATTAATATATAAAATGAATCTGACCTGTACGTTCGTCCCCAGATTCTTCGAAATCGGAGCTTGTGTTAGTGTATGAAAATCCAACTCCAATGGGGGATTCCAGAAACAAAAGGTTTGCCTCTGTTATTACACTTTTACAAATGTTATATATAGAAACATATTTATATACAATTAGTTTTGATATAGTTGGAGTTGTAAAACTATGCAAGTCCATAACTTAAAAACATAATAGAAACTGATTAAAATTAAATAAGCTAATGAGTACCTGTATTCCAAGAAAAGTTGTGAATATATAGATTTGAACCAGTACTATTGATCCGAAACGGTCCAATTTCTTCTGAAGCTCCATAAGCAATCGATGAGCAGCCTGGTCCTGCATGTTTATTTTTTCTTAATTTTACCTTAATTTTTTTTAATGCGGTGAGCCTTTTGTGCATGTTTCTGTCATGCTTTCTTACCGAATGTCAAAAGGAGAGAAAGATAATTGAAAAGATGATGCTTGAAAGTGATTAGAGAGCTAAAGATATATAGTTACATAGATGCTTAGCCAATCATATTTTTGCTATCTTTTAGTTGTGGTCCATCATATTGACTGGATATATATAATATAATCAGGATCTCTGATCCAATGATTAAACAATGATAAAAGACTTTCATTATTAAATCTTTTATTACCAATCTTTCATATTTTTTTAATTTTTTTTTTTTGCTAAAAGGCTTTTCAATCTTTTATTTTCACGTGCGGCTTATTATTCTTTTAAAAAATTTAAGTATCCAGAATTTACAAAATCGACCGACTAATTACAGAGCTAGGTAGATTTTTTGGTTATAAGTTTCCCACAAACCGTATTTAAATCCAAGTTACCAAATGGTCCACACTCAAGATCTTACATACATGGAATTGTTGCGAGTTTCATTGTCTTGGACCAAATACACATTGTGCTATGACACGCGGGTTCATGTGACTTTATATTGTTAGTCTAATATTTATTTTCTATATATTTATATATATATATATACATACTTTCCCTTAGATAAAGGTTGCTGCTACAATGCTTTAGTTTGTATAATTGTATATGATATATATATTAAAGAAGGCGCCGCGAAAAAGATAATGAATTAATGCTTTTATTTAGTCGTGGGCATGATCTAAATGATGAGGATATGTTGACATCAGTGTTGAGAGAATATTCCAATTATTCCTCAAGGCCTACTTTAGTGAGAAATGCGAACTTTTGCTAAAAATAATTCATATATTAAAAAGGAGGAAAAGAGGGTAAAAACGCTTGCATGTTTCCTTTTGTTTGTTTTTCTAACAACAATTACATGTTTCACTTATGAGAGTCATATTGGGTTGTTGATGCTGTTTTGGTGGACATTGATTTGATTTAATCAAAATTAAAGATAATGATAAGACATAAAGTATTGGTATTGGTATCTTTTAGTATATATGTACTATTTACTTTTTGTTTAGTCTAATTAAGAATACTTAGAATAGTCACGTTAATAAGATTGATTGACATCTTCCGTTTACAACGTTGACGAAGACTTGTGAATAGGATTGTGTTTGTGGAGAAATATTACTGACTCTTATCAGCTATCATAGTAAAACATATAGATTACATACATTATAGAGTGACGTATTCTATTTATAATTCTAAACATACATT